ATTCCAAGTAAGTAACCTAAGGTGAGCAAATTTGGGCTTTCATTTCAGAATCCCTATAACCTAACTGAGCTAGAGTTTCCAAAAGGCCTCTGGTGGCCTTCAAAGAGTCCTCCTCATCCAATAATAAACCATCTACATTGAAATAAGGTTACCTTGGGGTACTTACTAAGGAAGAGATGTGAATCCTGGGTGAGTGCTTCATCAAAGACGGTGGGAGAGTCCCTTGAACCCCTGAGGCAGTCTGGTCCAGGTTAGTTGTCCTGATATCCCCAGTTCAGGGTCAGCCCATTCAAATGTGAAGATGGGCTGACCTAATTTTGACAGAGGGATGGAGAAGAATGTATCTTTTAAGTCCAACACAGTGTATACTTTATCCTCTGGTGGTAATAAACTGAGCAAAGTATAGGGGCGTGGAACAGTCGGGTAAATGCCTTCTACTCTTTTGTTCACATCCCTCAAGTCTCGTGCTGGTCTAAAGTCTCAAGTTCCAGGCTTTTGGACAGGCAACAAGGGGGTATTCTAGGCTGACTGGCGAGGAATAAGTATGCCTGCTTCAAGGAGGCACCTGATGTGAATCTCAGTCCCATCCCTGGCTTTTGAACTGATGGGTACTGCTTGACCCGAATGGGCACTGCCCCAGATGTTAGTTGCACTATGATGGGTGGTACATGTTTTGCCAAGCCAGGAGGATTGTCCTCTGCCCAAACTGTAGGAATTTCCTGCATCAGCAATTTTTTCCATTCCCCTTCCTGGGAATGGGTTGGATTTTGGGGGATCAGACATTCCTCACTTATGGGCAGGTTATACTTTAAAGCCTTAGCAGGGCCTCCCAATTGTAACCTAGGAGAGTCTCCTGAGAAGGATATTGTTACCTGGAGCTTGTTCAAGAGGTCCTGCCCAGTAAAGGGTAGGGGCATTCAGGAACAACAGTAAAAGGATGAGTCATAGTTCCTAGGTTAATAGTCCAGTGGTCCATTTGTATTCTTGGACATCCCCTGTTGTCCCTGTACTTCCATTGTTTGGTTGGTATGGGGTCCCAGGGGTTTCTGCAATACTGAATGAGTAGCCCCTGTGTCCACCAGAAGTTTTACAGGTTGGCCCTATGGTGACAGTTACCATAGGCTCCTGGGGGCCTCGTTGGAAGAGGCCTCACCCTCGCTGGCCCTCTGTACTAGGCTGGCTTGGGCTTGAGGGGCCCTGCCTGTTTCTGGCACGGACATTCACTTTTCCAGTGACCCATTTCTTTGCAGTAGGCACATCGGTCCTTTTGTAAAGGTCTCCTCCTTTATCATGGCCTGTATGGGCAGAGCTGAAGGTGGCCTAGGTTTGTAGTACAGCCACAGGGGCATGCCTCTCTTTATCAGAAGATCTTCTTGGCTGTTTCTGCCGTCAAATGCCTTCAGGGCTATTTCTAATAGTTCTGACCTGTTCTTTCCTGAAAACCTGTCCATCTTTTGTATCTTTCTACATATGTCAGGGGCTGGCTGAGTAACAAAGGCCAGGTTAATCGCCTTGAGATTTGCCAAGTCCTCTGGGTCTATTTATAACTGATAGATGTCAGGAGGCACTCGGGGGGAAAACTGAAAGTGACTCATCTGGGCCCTGTTCCACATCTGCTACCATAGATCAGTGGACTTTCCGGTTGCTCATTTCATCCCTTCCAGAAGAACCTGGTGGTATTCACTGAGTGACCTCCTACCTCTCTCTCTGTTCCACTGGGGTCTCCTTCTTGGCAGAGCATGGCTAATCACCTCTACCCTCTGGCCATCAGCCATTGAAGCTATTCTGGGGAGCGCTTCTGTTGCTCTTGTGAGAATCCGTTCCCCTTCTTCAGTAGCAAAGAGGGTACAGAGAATCTGCTGACAGTTGTCCCATGTGGGGAGATGATTGAAAAAGAGAATCAAGTGGAGAAATGATGGGATCATCAGGCTAGTGCTAAAAGGGGCTCTGGTTCTTCCAGTTGTAGAGATCTGTGGTGGAGAAAGGGGCACACAGGTAGCAAGTGTCAGGAAACGGGAACTGAAGGAGGAGCCACCCCAGAGCCGGAGGAGGAGGAAGAGTTGGGAGGACGGTGCTGGGAGGGGAAAGACAGTGAGAGGTAGGGAAGAGCTGGGGTGTGGGGAGGTAGGGAAGAGCTGGTGTGTGGGGAGGTAGGGAAGAGCTGGGGTGTGGGGAGGCAGGCAGAGGTGGGGTGTGGGGAGGCAGGCAGAGGTGGGGTGTGGGGAGGCAGGCAGAGCTAGGGTGTGGGGAGATAGGCAGAGGTGGGGTGTGGGGAGGTAGGGAAGAGCTGGGGTGTGGGGAGGTAGGCAGAGGTGGGGTGTGGGGAGGTAGGCAGAGGTGGGGTGTGGGGAGGTAGGGAAGAGGTGGGGTGTGGGGAGGCAGGCAGAGGTGGGGTGTGGGAGACAGGGAAAAGCTGGGGTGTGGGGAAGCAGGCGGAGCTGGGGTGTGGGGAGGCAGGCAGAGCTGGGGTGTGGGGAGGCAGGCAGAGGTGGGGTGTGGGGAGGCAGGCAGAGCTGGGG